GGAGCAGGAAAGGGCTGAGCCGGGGCGTGGGGGAGGCTGCTCTGCTGCATAAGGTCGCCAGGAGCAGGCACCATGCCCGAGGTGCAGGCGAGGGCGGGCCTGGGGTGGTGCAGAACCGGGGACCTCCAGGAGCGAGACCAGGAGCCACGGCACCGCGGCAACGTCAGCCTCTGAGCACCTGTCCCTTAGGCGAGCGGCTGTGCAGCGCGGAGGAGGCCACGGCTGGCAGCGGGACTTACACTCGGCACGGCTACATCTTCTCCTCGCTGGCTGGCTGCCTGGAGAAGAGGAGTGAGGATGGTGGGGTGAGCATAGCCACGGTGGTGCTGCCCTTCCCTGTAGCTGGCTGCAGTTACTGAGGCTGCGCAGCCCCTTTGCAGCTGGAGATTTGGGCTCTGATGGGGTTTAGCGCTGCAGTGCCTTCTGTGAGCCCGCCCGGTCCTGTGTGATCCTGTGCACAGGCCTTGCCTCAACCTAATTCGTGTGTCTGCTACCCTGCAGCTGCCCGTTGTGTCTGTGGTGAGAGATGCTGAGTCCCAGCTCCTGCCTGACGTGGGAGCCGTGGTGACGTGCAAGGTAGGGCGCTGGTATGCGCTGCAGTGGCAGACCTCACAGCCTCTGCGCTCTCCATCTCATGCTGACCTCTGTTCCTGCACATGTACAGGGTGGGATGAGGAGCCCCTGGCCCCATTGGTACCCTCCATACGACTCTCAGCAGGGCAGAGGCAGCCCAGCAGCTCCCTTGGGTCCCTTGCTCACAAAGAAGCCAGATAATGGCATGGGGGACACCTACCTCTTGACTTTGCCTGTCCTGAGCCTGAGGGGAGATTTTTCTTTGCTTTTTCTTCCCATTCTGTGCGGAGGGCAGTGACTGGGGCAGCTTGGATGAAGGGTGGCACAGACCAAGGATCGGATTCCTCATGGCCCTGATGATGGGAGCGGGACTGGGGTCACAGCAGGTCTCAGTCTTATTCATGGGTCTTGAGTTGCACAAGTATCGTCTTCCTCTCCTGGCTCGCTACTGGGTGTCCCACCTCCGCTGCTGCTACTTTAGCTGCAAGGAGGAGGGGGAGGCCCTGCCTGCACCCTGCCCTTTCCCTGCTTGGAGCCAGGTGCACTGGGGTGAGAGCAGGCTCTGCTGGCACTGATTCTCATTTTCCTCTGGGCAGGTTTGCAGCATTAACTCCCGCTTTGCCAAGGTGCACATCCTGTATGTCGGCTCCACGCCGCTGAAATCCACCTTCCGGGGGACCATACGGTAGGGGGGGGCTGGATTCTGTGAGAGATGGGGGATGCCTGAGTGCCCCATCCTCAAGGGGGGAGGAATGCTTTTCTCCCTGCAGGAGCTCTGCCCCGAGTACCGGGCAGGTGTCCAGTAGTCCTGGCGAGCACCCAAGGGAGCTGGGGCAGCTCCTGGAGTTGCCTTCACTTGCTGGCGCTCAAATCTCTCCATCTCCTTTTTCAGAAGAGAAGATATTCGAGCTACAGAGAAAGATAAGGTCAGTGACTGCCAGTGACTGTGCTACCACAGCCGCCCCTGCTCGCTGCTGCTGGCGGGACACTTGTCCCACTGCTGACAAGCACCCCGACATGCTGTGTGGTTTTGCCTGCTCTCTCCCATGCAGGTAGAAGTGTACAAGAGTTTCCGCCCCGGTGACATAGTCCTGGCCAAAGTCGTATCCTTTCCCCTCAGCCCATGGGGGACAGCGGGTGTGCTTGGATCCCCTTGTTTTGGAGTCCCCTTGTTTTGGAGTCCCCTTGGGTAGGCCTTTTCCTTGACCACCATCTGATCAGATCTCCCTGGGGGATGCACAGTCCAACTACCTGCTGAGCACGGCAGAGAATGAGCTGGGCGTGGTGGTGGCACGCAGCGAGGCAGGTAGGGACAGGGGACAGGTTTGGCCGGTTCTGCCCCATCCCTGCCTGAGGGGCAGTTTCCTCTGTTTCCTCGGAGGAACACAAGTTCGGAAAGGGGATCCCCTGACAGATGGTGTCTCTAGGGGTGCAGATGGTGCCCATCAGCTGGTGTGAGATGCAGTGCCCACGGACACACACCAAGGACTTCCGTAAGGTGGCCCGTGTGCAGCCCCAGTTCCTGCAGACCTAGCAGCCCCCAAGAGGGCGCAGGGACCCTGCAGGGCCAGGGGCTGCTGGACTGGGGTCTGTAGGACCAGAGCAGACGGGCTCCAGCCTCCTCCACACGTGCAGGAGGCTGGAACAGCCCAATGAGCCTTTGCTTACAGGACATTTGTGGATAATAAATATTGAGAGCTCTGTACTCTGCTCCATGAAGGCCGAGCGGGGGCAGTGACTCCTGTAGCAAGGCTGTGGAGGGGACAGCTTCGCCAGCCCTGTGGCTGGGAGGGATGACATGTTCCCAGCCCACCACTGGGGAACAGCCCAGCAGCTTTGCCGCAAGCGAGGAGAGCAGCAGAGCTCCTGTTTGTGGCTGCGTGGTGCTGGCTCCAGGCACTCGCCTTACAAGGTTGGTTTCCCCACACTGGCACCAAGGATGGAGAACACCAATAACTGGTATGGGCTGTGGCTGTGCTCCCCCTGGGGCAACGCATCTCCTACAGCCACACTCTGCCCTGTCTGCCTCTGGGGACAAGGGTGTGCACCCAGAGCCCTAAAACCACAGAGCACCAGGGCATCGCCCTCCCCAGCAGGGCTTGCAGAGCTGTGGTTTGCTCCCTGGGCCCAGCAAGCCTTCCGCCTCCCCCACCCCAGCAGTGACTGCTGCCCCGCATGCTTGTGGCAGGAGCCCCAGGGAGGTGCTAGGTGAGGCAGGGACCCCCACACACACCATGAGACCAAGGAAGACACTGACCCCTCGCCTCGTTACTGCACATTAACTCTTTATTGAACTGGAACAAGACAGCTGCTATTGTCAGACACTTACACTGACCCCGTGCACGCCCAGGCTCGTGGCGCCGGCAGAGGGGGAGACCACAGCAACAGGGCCACACATACGCACATGGGATGGGGCACAACGGCAACTGCTTTACCAGCAGGACTAGGATGGGCTTCGGCTGGGGGGAGCATGTGGCAGACACACAGCTCCAGATGACCTACTCCCGCCCTCACCCTTGTGCAAAGACAGTAAGTTAAAGCGGGGGGCTGGCAGAGCTAGGTCCAGAGTTGTGTGTGCCACCCTTGGGTGCTGTACCACATGCACCAAAATACAACCCTTACAGTGTCTATACATCCCAATCCCTGTGCCACACACCCACGAGGGGATGGGGTACCCATCTTGGTCACTGCCTGCGCTGTGCTCACCCCACTGCTCCTGAGATGACTAAATCAAGCAACAAAAACTACAGTAACCGGGTGACAAGAGCTGCCGGGGAAGCAAAGCAGAGGGCGAGCCTGGCACGGTGAGGGATTGCTCAGTGCATTCCCCTGCAGACAGGGCCCAGGGGTTGGGATCTCAGTGAGCTGTATGGTGGCTGCATGGCAGAGCCAGGGCTCCCCTTCACACCAGACCTCCGCATGTGCAGCCTCTTCCCCCCAGGTCCCCAGGCTGTCTGCAGAGGGGAGCCTGGTCCTGAGGGAACGGGCCTAATCCTGGGGAACTGCTCCAGCTCTGCAGCTCCAAGTTTCTACGGCTGTAGGGGGTGTGCACAGAGGGGTAGGGGGTGGCGGCGGGGGGGCTCTACTACGTGCTAACCTGCTGCCCACCCTCACTTCTTGACCTTGCCCTGAGCAGCGACAGCCTCCATGGCCTTGCGCACCGTCTCCTCATCCCCCAGGAACTGCATGGGCTTGACGGGTTTCAGGTTCTTGTCCAGTTCGTAGACGATAGGGATGCCAGTAGGCAGGTTCAGCTCCATGATGGCCTCTTCTGACATGCCTGCAAACACAGAGGCACCGTCACTCATAGTCCTGCTCGCACAGTGCCAGCTGGGGCAGCGGGAAGACCCCTGTGATACCCCCTCAGGGCTGACGTACCTTCGAGATGCTTGACAATCCCACGCAGGCTGTTGCCATGAGCAGCAACAAGGACTCGCTTTCCCTCTTTGATCTGTGGGACGATTTCCTCGTTCCAGAAGGGCAGAGCCCGTGCAATGGTGTCCTTCAGGCTCTCACATGTTGGCAGCTGGTCCTCTGTCAGGTCAGCGTAGCGACGGTCCTGGGGGAATGGCCATGCTCACACAGCAGCCCAATGCAGTATGGGAAGGCGGCAGCAGGGTCTTCATCCCCCCAACCCAAATTCCCTGCCTAGGGACCTGCTACATGTAGGCAAAGCAGGGCTTGGAAGCAAAGAAGTACCTCTGAGGTTTGAGCCTGTGCTTGGCTACAATTTGGGCTCTGAACCCCTCCTAGGGAAAGCCACACACTGCTTGCTCTGGGTGAAGAGACCAGAGCAAACATCCATGCATGGGTCACAGGACTAATAATTAACAGAGGTATCAGCCCCTCTGCCCGTGCAATGCCCAGGGGTTCAACTCCCCAGGGAAGGAGTGGGACAAACTCAGCCCAACACCAACCAACACCACACACACAACAGTCCTGGCTGCTACAACAGAGCCAAAGGGGACCTTGTGAGGAAGCCAGATCAAGCTGCAGGGATCTAAGGTGGCTTCTAGGAGCCTCCCAATCAGGCAGACAGAAAGCAAAGGGTCTTACCTTGCTGATGGTGCTGTAGAAGGGGTGATCAGACTGCATGGGAGGTGGAGGAATGTCATACGAGCGCCTCCAGATCTTCACTTGTGCCTCACCATGCTTTGCCGCCGTCTCAGCCTTGTTCAAACCGGTGAGGGCCCCGTAGTGCCTCTCGTTCAGGCGCCAGGTTCGGATAACAGGTAACCACATCTGATCGATGGCATCCAGGACAGTCCAGAGGGTACGGATGGCCCGTTTCTGCACCGAGGTGAAGCAAATGTCGAACTCGTAGCCGGCATCTGGAAAAAACCAGGGAATCGGGGGTGGGGGGGGCACCAGAGAGGTCAGTGGTGGGCCTTATGCAACCAGTGAAGGGCTGAGGGCGGCAGCCTCACTGTGTTGGTACCGGTCGCATCCCCGCTATTGCCGGGCGGGCCGGCGGTGGCGGGGACGCGACCAGTACCAAAGATCAACCCCCTCGGGTACCTGAGGCTCTCCCCT